TTTATGATTTAAAACTGTTTGCAGTTTTAACTACTTCAGAAGAAAAGGCATTAACGTAGTTTTTTGCATGAGTTGAGGAGCTGGCGAACAAAACGGTATAATTACGCATCTGGTCAAACTACTTTTTTTTTACAGTCTGGAGTATTGGGCCCGTTGAATTTGAATCTCAAATGATGTTCAATCAAAACTGCCTAAAAGAGAGTTTAAATTACTAAATTTATAAATTAAAAACCATGCCAACAGCTCACTGGAGGTACGTTATTCAGTTTTATACAGCTCCTGTAAAAAATATTTTTATGTACATAATTATACCGTTTTGTACGCCAGCTCCTCAGTTTAAATAACTTGGTCTTGGAATGAATCTCCATTTTTTTTTTGCACTGGTAACCTAAATTAACCTTCCTTGCTGTGTAAGTGGAAGCGAAAAAAAGATAGAATGTGCCAGATGGTACAAGGTATAGTACAAGAGGTACAAATTATTAACACTATCGACCGGTAGCCTTATTTTTTTAAATGTTTAAAACATTTAGAAAATGGTAGTCTCTTTATTTAAATAAATACTACCTGTTGTGGCCTTCTGAAAGGAGGAATTTATTTCCAATGACGGGCGCTCCAATTCTAGAGGGAAATCCCCTATGCCTCTTGATATTCATTTCTGAGGGCCCTCTACCTCCATATTTTATTTATTTCGGTTCAGTGGTTTGTGCGTGAAAGTAACAAAAACACAGACAGGCCGAGTTACTTTGAAATATAAAATTAGAATAAATAAAATAAAATAAATAAATAAAATACATATACGAGTAAGTACTCATATAAATCTTTAATTGAACTTAACGTAGAAATAAACATTTTCGTTTGGTAACATATCCATTATTGGTATTGAAAATTACGTTGTAGGTTTTATACAATAAATCACGGTGATGGATTCAGGCATCAATTAACGTATTTTTTACTTTTAAGTTTGATCTATGTTGACGCTGTCGCTTTTATTGTATAATGACAGATAAATAGAATATGTATTTGAATTCAATACTTAAGTACTTTAATAGACATCTCTGAATGAGGTTGTAGGCAAAAAAAATATTTTAATGGCGATAATAACTCTCATTGAACATCTTTTAATTTTTCAATAAGATTTTTCTTTAGCAATTGTAAACTAAACAGTGAAAGTGACAATAATAAAAGGTGCTGAAATAATAAACCGCTTATCGGCTACTTTATGACAATGTGGTGTTATTTTCATTTCCATTAATGATTCCAAAGTAATTGTTGCTTCTGCACTGCTCATAAATACTATATTCTTACACATTTTTTTAAAGTTTTAATGATTTTCTCTTAAAACTGGTCTCACAGTTTTATTTCAGAGTTTTGGAAAGTTTTAGTGTAGGTACTTACGAGTATATTAACTGAATCGAGCCTGACTGAGATCTCCGAGATAGCGACTACGATGACTACGACATCAAACATGTTCGCCTCTCGGCTACGGCGTAGCCATCGTTGCTATATATAAATACGGCGCATCGACCGAAAGTCGAAAAACGTAGAAAAAACTTTCCGCAAATTGGTATATAGAGGTTTTCGGGGTTGTTGAATAGGAATCCATTCACAGAATCAGCAAATTGAAATCGCCGATCTAATAAAGCGTCATGTCATACTAGTCAGGTTTTTGTTTTAAAATTATTAAAGTATGGTCTATGATCTTTTAAAATAATATTATTCGTCATTGGGTTTAGTCGATTATAATAAAATTATATGTTCAGGTCCCCTCTCGCTCCCCCGGGAACCAGTGGCTAGGCGTGGGGGGCGTCGAGACACATTGCACGGTTCCTGAGACGTGTGGTGCCCCAGATACTCCGGGGAACCGCACGCCGGGGGGGTCCGGCAACGGATAATCACTGGCGGGGCCACGGTGCGTTGCGAATCCCGTAGCTAACCCGCACTCCTGGCACGCAATGGGGGGACTCAGGTCCTCGGATTGCGTGTCAGGTGACCAGTGCAGGAGTATTGCCTGGTTTTTAGTGGCCCTGTAAGGGCGTAGGTAGGGCCTTGTTCACTTCGGCGAGTCCTAGGGCTGGTTGAAGTGGACGGGGAGGAGTCCCACATACCTTCTTCTCGCTCCCCCAGTGGTTGAAGGATGCTTAAAGCAGCTTTTCCAGACACAAATAAAAAAAAAGGTTATGATAGGGCTGGTATGGATAATTTTGTCCAAAAGTTCCTTAAAATAATAAAATAAAAGAGTTTATTATGGTCTATAATTGAAAATTTATTAAAATGACAAAATGCAAAATTTTACAATGCAATATGGCGATATTGTATAACAAAAAAATATGCGTTTATAAAAAAATGAGCTATACACAAACATTTATAACGTACTTAGAGAGTGTCAGTTGCGTTTCAATGAGAAAGGAACCAAAACCAGGCATAGTTAAAAACTTAAGTTTAAAACTTCTAGTAGGTTTACACGTAATCTAGCAAAGACTTGCATTGCTTTTTTTTTGGACGCAGTAGTTTCGGTGATATGGGGTGTCAATTTTCTTTAATTTAATTTGTAAACTATTCATTTTACATTTGTAAAATCGTTTAGCCATTTCATTTGGTATAAACTCTTTAAGTTTTGACCTATATACTTTTGACGGTCCCTAGCTAAAAACAAATGAAACATTGTTTTGTTTTCGAGTGTGTATGCTGTTGGTCGACGACCGACAGGTTTGGGGACGGCGAGATCCTAAGGGGACCTCAAGCCGAGAATTGGCGAGTGAATAAATTTACAACCTTTACATTTGACAGAAGAAATAGCAATTGTAGTTTTATTATTTAAGCACTTAACTGCTAGATGTTTTAAATCTAAATATATTTTTATGGCCAACCTTTGGCAATATTCATTTTAATCTGCATAATTTCGCTAAGCATAATCGGTATTTGTGGTCCGTAGGTTAGGTTAGTGTTGTGACTAGACACCAAAAGACATTGTTAAATAATTGAGGTAAAGTTAAATTTGTGTATGCCAAACGGCGAACTTATTGCGATATGATGGTTCAGCTTTTTAAGAATTGTGGATATTAAATATATGCTTCGTAAGCCACAATCATCGGCTTACAAAATTATGCGTATCAATGTCTGCTTAATGAGAATATGCCAAATGATTTTCTCCAAAATGAAGTATATGCCATCCGCTGACATGCATAACAATATTAAGACATTAAACAGTTCTGCGTTACAAAGTTTTAATATCTTACAAGAGTTCTTTAAGAATTTTCGGAGTTCTTTGAAAATCGGCTTATATTATATCAATGGGCATAGTTTAAAAATAAGAACGTTTGATTTCAATGGCTTCAAATAATTTATGTAGTTAAGCCTTAAAGCTGGAGCAATGAAAACAATGAAAGTATTATATTACCTGGCTGTTAAGGAAACAATGAAGTACAGCGCGGTGTTTTATTTTATGATTTCTACTTTAGTGGGAGTCTAACCACATCCCCTCTATCTTTTAGAAGCTTTACTTCAATAAGGGTCTAATTTTGGCAAATGTTCTCATTTAGTTTTGTGCTTTCCACACCAACTTACTGTTTTCTGTTCGCTAGTGCATCTGTGCTGTTAGTTTTGTTGTGTTCATTTGTTAAAAAAGATACTCGTTGAAAATATAACCAATGTAAGTATTTCTTTTTAGTTTTAGTATCTTTATTATTTTTTGGAAAATAAATTTGAAAATGGGTATGCGAAGCAAGACTCACTTACTTTTTTAATGGAAGGTGATATCGAGTAATTTTATTTAATCAATTAATTAGAATTTATATTCATATACAAGTAGATTGTATTTAATTATATCGTGTTTCTCTAATAGTTTTACAGAAAATATATATTTTATTAAAATGAAGAATTTCACGCGAATTAGAACGATATATATGTGGTAGGATGATTGAGAAATGACTGGCTTATAATCCGCGTTTTCACAAAAACCTAGGATTTTCGCGAAAATTAGATTTATCAAATCATCCTTTGGCATATACTTATACATGCTCCATATTCATGTTTTATTGTTGAAAATAAACTAGTCTATTTCTATTTTCGTGGTTCTCTTAATCTGTAAACCAAAATTCATCAATAACGTTTCAGGGGTTTAGGCGTAAAAGCGTCAGTGACAGGCATTGTTTATTTCTTATTTGTATAGTTTGTTCGTTTCTTAATGTAAAAAAGTAGAAAAAAAATAATGAAATTAATGAGAAGAAATATTTTTGTTGCTTCTTTTTATATCTTTCATGTTGTCTTCTCATTTGAAACTCCACTTATGGTGTATAACCGTGTCTATTTGGAGAGAATAATCTATAACTTATCAAAATATAATAATATATAAGTGGCCGATCTATCGCGTTTATAAAGCTAATCAGTAAAGTCAGTGGATAAACTAATTCAGTAATAGTTATTTGTGATACAAGTGCAGTAAGTTGGTTATTACCTTAGAGTATACATTAAACTAGTAATGTATACTCTAACTAGTAACTAGTTTAATATATACTCTAAGGTTATTACAAAAGAGTAGACGTTCGTCTCGGGCTAACAATAGTCACGAGTTTGTGATACCAATCCGCACGAATGTCATACAACGTATTTCAACACATTTGGGAGAAAACATTGTACATAATTTAAGTAATGAAGCAATGTGTTTCTAATAAGAACATGCGGGTGGTAAAAATTAGAACTCCTCGTAAATCTTTCGCCTCTATTTCTTTTAAGTATAATGATACTAAAAAGACCCGGACCGGGTATAGACTAAAAGAGCTACCGAGGAGATTTTATCGAAATTAAAGAAAAATCTATTGGAAAATGTATGGGAGCGTGCGTTATGAATTTTACCGCACGCTCCGGGTGTGTGGCCGGTAATTTTGAATTTTCAAACTATGTATATAACTTTCGTAAATTAATTTATGAGCAAATGTATTGAAAATATATTTTGCGTTCACTTTTTCACACAAGCATTAATACTTAATATTTTTTTCGGTATAGACTATGGAGGCTTCAATGTCACCTTTAGATATACTTTCAAAAGTTGCGTTGGAGCAATTACATATCACTCTACAAGGCGGCAATGAACAGCAGAGTAGCAGCGACTGCCCTGGTAAGTACTCGACAATCTAATGGTTCAATTTTAAAAAAAGTCGGTGTTTAGTAACTTGCGTGCTTGTTACAACATACTTTATAAATTTTCATTACATTATTTCTTACATGTAATTTAAGAGGCAAAGTTTTATTATATTAAAATATATTATTATGTTAAGTTCATATAAACACTTAACTACCTACCTCTATTTAAAGCTAATAAAGGTCAACTTAAAAAATAAGTAACGACGAAACTTCTATGATTGTTGGGAACGATATGGTTTTCAAATGCTTCTTTAGCATAAACGATTGCGATACCAGGGTACTAACAGCGCGTGGTTTTCTTATCCCAGCCACCCATACCAAAAACTTAAAACAGATTATATCTATATGATGAGAATTCAAACTTAGTAAAGTTATTTTTTTTATCTTTCCAAGACACGTAAGGACCACGCTATATATTCTAAGATCAAAACGGCCCTTCGCTTACCATGTTCAGAAAACCCTGTGTTGTGACTTGTTACACAAGTCATTTATGTTCTTCTACTTAATGGAGGTCTTGGTACTTTCTATCATTTGGAAATGTCTTATAAATTTCCTTTTACTTTCTTCATTCGCTGATTAAAGTTATCCCATTGTGCTCATTTGACTTCCTTGATCATCATGATGTTGATGATATATTTTAGAAGCGATTTTTCAGAATGCTTACTTTAACTTTACAGATTCTGATGCTGCTAATGACTCTATGAGGTCGAGCAATCATTGCCACAAAAAAACATTTTATCCGAAAGCAGCAGTAAGTAATTTGTACCGTTCAATATTTTAAACTCTGAGTTGAATGTCTAAAATAACGTTTGCTGTATAAAAAAATAATTATCTTGCTCTCATGTTGAATAAGGTGAAAAAGGTTATAATTAGCCCGTTGTTAACTTTTACGCCATAATAAATAATAAGTAATAAAAAAATAAAATAAAATAAAATAAAAATTTCCAATACTCACACCAATTAGCCTAGTCCCATAGTAAGCACTGTAGCCTTGTGTTATGGGATGCTAGGATAACGGATAGTATATACTATCCGTTATCCTAGCATTAGCCTAGTGTATGTATATACATACACTGATTAATATTTAAGTATGTCTATATAGAAATACATATTTAACATCCATGACTGGAGTACAAATGCTCGTATTCATCACACAATCATCCACCCCCACCGGGATTCAAACCCGGGACTTCTCGAGTACGCGATATCTTGAAACCCAGCGAATCAATCACTTGGCCATGGAGGTCGTCAAAAGAAGAAATTGAATATTCAAAAACAATAATCATTTACGACTTATCAACAAAAAAACAAAATTTTAGGTCACAATTTAGACCCTAGCAATACCGATGTTTAGTTTGAGTATCCAATTTAAAGTGTTTTGTTTTATGGCGTGAAGTTGTAATGTAATAATTGATTTATTTTTGCAGATTACACCACCATCTTCGGTGCCTATAAGTAAAAGAACAGAGTGTCACCGTGACTATACCGCGTGCTAGTTCCACGCCAGTAGTGAAACGCCAAAAGCTTTCTCATAAAAACGGCGAAGGTTCAAGCAAAACACGCGAGATCCAAGTCGAACATCCGCACTGCTTGACCGAAGAAATCAGAAAATGCGTTTCGTCTACACTCAAGGGTATCCTGGCTGGATGCGACGAGAAGAAATTCGAAAGTTTGATTGAGGAAATAACCTCTTTTATGTTATCATTATATTCAAAAGGATATTTCGATATTATAAAGCCGGAAAATAATACACAGGTAAGCCAATACCATTAAAACCCAAAACATAATTAGTTTTTAATATTTTCAATAAAAGCAGTTATTTCATATCAAATATAGTACTACAAAAAGCCGGCTTCGTTATCGCACCATAAAGAAATTAAGAAATTTTGACTTTTAAATATATCAATACCGATTTATTTCTCTTTAAAATCACGAAAAATACGATCTGTCAAACCGGTTGAGCTGTTTGGAGTAATGCTCTTTCATGCATGCATGTGATTTGAATTTTTACTGAAAGATATTGCATAATTAAATGTTTTAATATTATAACTATGGTCACGCATAGTTATACAAATTGTTTTACTGAAACTGTGTTTTCCGTTTTTTAGAAAACTCACAACCCTGCAATCCCTGGGACCTCCAAATCCAGCACTTCGCCAAGTTCTTTTAACACGAGCAAAAATTCCAGAAAGTTTGTTCACAAAAGGAGTGTAAAGAGTAATGATTTGGTAAGTGTTGTCTGCTTGAGTGGGTTTTAAGCAAACTACTCATTTACCCGTTGTACAGAATGCACCATGGACTTTCGTTTACACCATTTAATGGGGCACAGTAACCATGAAGTGGCATCTGCACCATTGTAATGATTATAATATAAATTTGGTTATGTAATAATTAGGTATTTCACTTTGCATGTTATAATTTAATTTTAAAATTTTATCTAAATTAAGTAGGTACATTTTCGTAATGAAACTTTATAATTTTATTTCACTTATTTGTTTCTTCGACATTAGTTTTAAGGCAACCACCATTAATGGTGAAAGTCAATAGTGCATTCGGTGTAACGCCCTCATTTACCTGCCCCAAAACGTGATTTACTAATAAATATTCTACGGTTAGTCTCAAATATTAAACGAATTATGTATAATTATACACATAGTTCCAAGAAATTTTACGTTAAGCTAATCTCATCATTTGAAAGCGCTGTTCAATTTGGGTGATAATGTAGCACTAATTGTGGATGCATTATGCAGCGATTTTTTCGTTCAACCTATTGTGTAGTATGTATGAAATAATAGGGGAATCTTTTTTGGCAAATGTTTAAAATTAATGATATAAGTAACTTGTGTTTTATTGCTGTATATATCCATAAATAAATGAAAACAAATATTTTCTCAAGTAATCCTACATTTTCACGTAATATTCGGTGTGTGAGGAGATAATATACCAATTCCATTTATAATGTTTAAATACGCACAGGTTCCCATTGGAGACGGGCACGCAACAGTCCCTGAAAGACTACTTAAACACATGAACTGGAGTTCACACACCGCTTGTACGCGGAAACTTCTAACAGCTGTGTTCCCGCGCGAGTGAGTACCACAAACTGCTGCTAATATCACTGCACCTTTCTTATAGTCTCGATGGTTTAGTTTAAATGAATATATGGAAACAATTGTGATCATTGTTGTCATAAGCTAATCGGTAGCTATTATAATTTCATTTAACACAAGGCTGCAAATAGTGTTCCCAATTGTTGTAGTCCATGAATGGTATTGTCATCACAGAAGAGTTATCTCTTCGGTCACATTCTAAATTTCTCATTCACAGCAAATAGGAAATCTCTAAAACAGTGTTGACTGTAATTAAGTGGCTTCTATATTACTCTTTATTTTCCCAGAGTTTTGGCCACACATTCTTTAACGGGTAAAGCATCTCCCGCGTTCCCCAATAAGCCAGCCAAGGAAAAGCTGGACCCCCTGTTAGTGCACGACATAATACAAACAGTCATGGATAAGTGTGGAGTCACCGAGTCTCAAGTGTAATATCTTTGAACAGCCCACTGAGTAATAATATCAAGTTAAAATAATACAATTTTTATATACTTACAAATAATTTTATACTAATTCAAACATATATGTCTTAGGTACCTAAAATGAACTGTACGTTGCAAATACATAATTTTCTTAACGTAAACTATAGCAAACACATCATTAAGCATCGAATTTAACTAACTTAAAATGATACTTCGTTATTCTTGGAACGTCAGGTACGCGCGGTGATATGTTTTTCGAATAAAATTAAAATCTTTTAATATCATCATCGTGTAGCCTTTATTCACCCATGAATAATTTTATTTTACGTCTATAATTACCCGAATCATAGTCTATGTCATGTCTGAATTTGAAAAAATCCTCTAAGTATAAAACTTTTAAAGACAATTTCATAACAGCAGATTAATGGAATGCTTTTTTTAAATTACAATATTTCTTCTAGAACTATCATCACTACTAAATGTGCCGACGAGTGCAAGATGTCCCGCGCGCGTAGTCGGAAAAACCGCAACACTGAGCGGCACAAAACCCGCAACAATGTCACGCACGACTCAACCAGCTCGGAATAACACATTTGTAAACGAGGTAATTTAAATGTACTTTATACTTGATAGCGTGAGTTGTACCACAGAACTAGTTTAAGTTAAATTTTACTAGAATTTAATGACATGACAGTTAACGTTTAAGTTAGTTGGTGCAGCATGAGGTACAACTCACGCTAAGAATAGCCAACAATTGTTTTTCTTTATTGCAAGCATTCGAATCCTGGCTGAAACCAGGACTGAGTAGATTTTTTTCTAGTCAAATTTGTCTTTTACTAAAAATTTTGTGTGGATACAGATTTTTAAGTTTATATTTAAATTATTTGTTTCTTAGGTTTTCACGCACATCACTCATTAAATAAAACTAGTTTTTACGGGTTAATGCACAAAAACTTTATTTATTTATTGACGTTTCGTAGCCTTTACATTCTGACGACGTAGCCTGTAAAGGCTACGAAACGTCAATAAATAAATAAAGTTTTCGTGCATTAACCCGTAAAAACTAGTTTTATTATATTTAAATTGTATTGGAGATCAATGCTATGTTTATAAGCACAACAAATACATATTCTCACACCATACCTCAATTCCTGGGTAATCAGAACATTAAAAGTGCTTAATGGCGGCGCTTTTAGCATTGGTAGGCTGGTTTGAGATAAGTTAGTCAGCCTATCGCCTACGTCAGTTTTCGAATAATTATGCTTCGTACGTTGATGGGATTTACTATCTGCATCGGAGAAAGCAGCTGCTACTTTCATTGTTTTTCTTTCACACCTCCTCCGCATGGGAGTGTGGGATTTCATGGGGCCGGGAATCATATAAAATAAGTAACCTTTTTATTTTGTTTTATTGCAGCACCTAACAAAAGTCATCGGCCACTGATGCGACCAACGCGACTGCATAAAACGAAAATCAGACCTTCATTCATTTTAATATTATTTTAAGTAACATAAGTTTATGTAGGAAGTACAAGCATAAAACCTGTCTGACGATATCCGGCTGCCAGCATTAAGGTCGAATAGGGGAGAGTGTAACGCAGTGTAAAATATAGAATATATCTGCCCTTTTCTTATTTGTCTATGGTATGTCTTAACGTGTGTGCTAATCATGGAGGTTAGAGAGAAGGAGAACGATCGCTGTAGAAAATAGTGTCCCAGAAATATGGACATAATAATTGAGGCGCTGCGATCGCTAAGTTGTCTCAATAAAAGCGTGCTGTTGTGCGCTAATTTGAAAAGATGTATCAACGTTTTATATTCAACTAACTTCATCTACTTGTACCCATAAACAGCTAACTTCACAGATACTACTTACTGACGGCAGCGCGGCTACAAATTATACATTCTACAAATTTTCAGGGACAGGTGGGCTAATGCTTTAGCACGTAGCGATCGTTATCCTTCTCTCTAACCTCCATGGTGCTAAAATTAGTTCTAAACGTCAAATAGTCGAACATAATACAGACAAATTCCTTTTGTTACATCATACCTCTTGATTTATTATCCCCACTTGACCCTAACGGCAATAGTTTCAAATGTTTTTTTCTGGTTCTGCTTATGTCTACTTATTACTACTTGAATTTTTGTTTCTGTAAACGTTTGTTTATTGTGTAGTACTTATCTACATATAAAATAACAAGCTGTTAAATAAAAGACTGTGATGAAATTACAGTCTCATTAATAAATTAATAGTTTCGAATGTTATTACAGTAAGGATACATTTGGAATCAAGTTAAAAACTATAAAACTGTTTTTAACAAACCGCAACAAGAAGTATCGCTTGCAGTTTGCGATATCAGCGGGTATCAGTCGCGTGTTGTTAAACCTGCCCCCCCTAGCATGAGCACCGCGATATGATATATATCGAGATTTTATCACGCTTAATTGTCAAATTACTATGGAGTTTGACAGTAACACGCGATAAAAAAGGTGATATAATGTAAATTATGGTGCTCATGCTACAGGGACTGGACCCTAATACCACAAAATGGACAGTGCAGAAGATAATAGAGGAGCTGGCAAACAAAACGGTGTAATTACGTATCTGGTTAAACAACTTTTGTTTTTACAGTTCAGAGGTTTCGGACCAGTTGAATTTGAATCTCAAATAATTTTCAATTTAAACCGCCTAAAACAGTGTTAAAATTACTAAATTAAAAATCATGCTAAAAACTTACTGGAGGTATGTGATTCCGTTTTATACAGCTCCTGTATTTAATTTTAAGTTATTGTACCGTTTTGTTCGCCAGCTCTTCAATTGACATACAAAGTGCTCTCAAGTAAGGCACATATAGACATAAGACACCGCTCACGGACAAAAGATCTCTGACCAGCATCGGTATTCTGTAAGATGCAATCTCACTTACGATCTCATTTATTTGGATTTCCGACAAATGACAAAATATCTAACACAGGCTGCTTTTACAGACATAGCGACATTTTGCCATGTAATGGCGTAATGCATAACAATCTAAAATGACAGCTACCGAAATCGAAGTGACATTTTATTTTACAGATTCGCCCTACAATCGGGACCACTGCGAGCGCGAGTTTTATCCGTTTGACACACGCGACTGATTATGTATTTTGTTCAAAAATGAAGCAATGACATTGAAGTTATTATACCAGTTCAATAGACGGTTGTTTAAATTCAATATTAGACGATGAGCTGTCGTTATTTTTTTAAATATAATATTACAAATGCCCTACCCCTTTAATTTTATAATGTGCAATAAATAATTTGGATCTTATATAGACTTATTGTTTTATTTATGGATTATTATTGTAATTTCATAGTCTCTAGGCAGATATGCTTTAAAGTGCAAGCCACGCTATGGTCAAAGGTGCCAATAAACCGGATTTCATGATATCGCTTTCTCAGAGGTCCTGGGTTCGAACCCCGGTGGCGTATAAGTATAACACAACCAAAGCGCTTCTGTTAGGGACAGCACTGGGCGTGTTAAATAAATAATAGAATTTTATATCACAAAAAATAAATAGACATGAACACTACAACAAGTACACAACACATAAAACAACAAAAATGACAAGTAGATTTTTTTTTAATTACAATGGGTAAGTAATAAAATCATTTAAACATCAAAAACCAATTACTGTCTAAAATTAAAATTAACTTAACCTACTCAACTACTTCAATAATATATAATATACAAAATAAAAAATATGTCACCCCCAATGCTGCCATCAGGAATGGTGCCCGATAGGCTGGCAGCATTGCTACGTGAGGTGCCAACCAGTTACCTCGGTGAGCCTCTTTGTTAATTCTTTAAAAAGGGAACGAGCTCTTCGACCCCTTGGCCCATAGTCTTAACACCAAACAGCATAAACATGTAGTTCTCATCGAGAGCTGAATATTTGCGCCGCTTGGTGCACTCGGCTGTAGCTGCCGCCGTGCCTGCAGCTAGAGAGTTACTACCTGTCTGGCACGAAGCAAGCGTATCCACGCAAGTTGCGTCCCATACAAAAGGACGACCCTGCGCCTCCAAAGAATGAACGTCTTACCGTCATGTCTGTTGCCATCGTCGCGAAAGATGCTGTCCCAACTCACCGACGCGAGTACTGTATCGACAGCGATGGGGATGATTTGTCTTACTTGACGCCAAGTCTAAGCGATAGTCGAGATTACTACAACGAGACAATTTAAATGATACCATCAGTCACTATGACAATTGAAATTTAAATCGTCCAAAAACGAACCTTTTTACTAACGATTTTTTTCTACTCGATCGATTCCTCAAAATTCTTGGTGAATCGAATCACCTGAATTTTTTTTCCCGCTGTGCGCCTTCTGGGAAAGACGGGACAGGCAAGTACTTTTTTTTCGGAGATTGAGAATTGTTGCTAAAGTTTGCGACACAGTTCGATAAATTTTACATGACTCTCTTGGGAGTGGCGTTACCCACATGATAAACTACTTTAGAAATCAAAATGTTTATTATAACATGTTGAATTGTTGCAAACGTAAAACCGACATAATTGCAATTTACTGCTAAACTAACAATCTCACGTTATTTTTTCATAGAACTGATTTTGTAGAGGGCAAGCTAATGAACAACTTTGATTTAAAAAAAAATTCAAAATCCCCGTTTACAAGCAAAAAACTCAAAAAAAAACGGTTTTTCTTTGTTTAAACAATTTTCCTGGCTACAAAACACGGGTTCTAGCGGGGACAAATGGAGGGCATATTCGTGGGGGTCTATACTATCTAGGAAAAAATTGGCTAAGCGCTGGTGTCTTAGAATAGAAGTCGGTCCAAATTATGGCTATTCCGACTGGACTAATACATTTCCTTATAGTAAGAGTCTATCAAGTGAAAAAAATACTATTAGGTACAGGCTAAATTTGACATTAAGTACCATGTCTCAGTATAGTGGTCAAAAAGTACATTTAATTGATATAAATAAATTAATATATAATTTTAAAATGACAA